TGAAGTACCTTGCTTTCTACTGCCTACAGGCAGCATCCTATAGCTGAAATGGAACTTCGTATAAGACTCATTTTGAACACACTGCATAAGCAATTCACCTGAAGTGCACAGGAGAGTTTGACAACTAGTATAGTGACAATTTTCTCACTTTGTTCACCATCTTTTTCCACTGAGCTTGTCACAGTGAATTTATTATGGGTTTGTTTGCTTAGTGACAATTCATTTGCCTTACAGTTTGGTGAGAAATTCTAAAAGGCATGCAGTATAAAGCCTCATTTATGTGCAGAACATGTTTTTTTGCATTTAAAAAAACATAAGACACAGTGCAGTGGAATGGGAAAAAACTGCAATGTCTAGAGACGCATTTTTTAAATGTTAAAGTACCATAAGCAAAACGGTCAAACATGTCCGACTAGCATTTTTACATAGAGAATCAGAAAAAATGCAAGGTGCAGGGTAATGGAATAAATAATCAAAAGGTCCAGAGACACATTTTTTAAAAGTACACCATTTTTATAACACGACACATGCAAAAATTTAAACATGTTTGCATAGAGACGTTGCTATCAAACGAAAAAGCTGCATAGTAGAATGCAAAGCCACGAAATGCAGGGAAGTGGAATTAAAACTAAAGCAAGGTCTAAAGAACTTTTTTTAAAAGCTGAACTTATTTTCATTTGAACACCGTGCTTTTAGAATAATGTAATGTGCAAGATACAAAAGACACAAAACCCAGCACAATGATCAAATGTGTCCATCTGGTGCATGTTTACATAGAAAACAATAGAAAAGCACAAAAACAAATGAAACATTGAAATTGAAAAGCAGTGTAGTGTGTGAACAGCTCCTGTGTATGCATTTAAAACAGCCTTTGCATGACGAGATATAAAATTCTCTTTGGGAAAAAAAAAATCTATCTCTCTTTCTTTTTTGATTAGTGTAAATGGGATCAGAGCACATGTTTTCTGCTCTTGTGTTTAAGTCCTCTACAGATAGCAGTCTTCCCATTAAACTGATATCCTGCAGTGATGGATATCCATGTACCAGTGTGATTCAGCTTGAGAACACTGAGTCTAATCATCCCTATTATCCAATGCATTTCCTCAGTCTCTAGGGGTTGTGCTTAAAAACAATTGATGATTATGCTGAAAAAACATAGGTAGTGCAGCCAACCCTTGGTGTTTATGCGATAAAATGCTTAATTAATACATTACAGTGTGAAAAAGTCTCCAACAGATGCTTGTGGTGAGTTGAAAGGCACGGCACTGTTGCAAACACAGCAGAAACAATTGCTTTATGTGTTACGTCTGCAAATTTCATACGCAAGAACTGCCTTGTTTTCTCTATTTTAACAGCTTGTGAAGACTGAAGTATAGAGCACAGTTCAGACACTCTTCAAGCTTCCCACATTTTCTTTGAATATACCACTTGCCGAGCTGTCTCAATTCAAGTCTTTATGCTACTTTGTAGTGGGAATGATGAAGAAAAATACCCTGAGGATATTTTCAACAGACCCGAGTGTCCATGGGTGAGAAGGCTTAGATCAGTGCAGAGTAATTACACATGCTTCCTTCCAGTATTACTGAACTCTGTAGGGTTGAAGAGGGACAGAGGGAAATAACATGCTTTTGCCGTGTCAGACTGTCATGCCTGTCAGTGATATTTTATGATGATTATCTATAATGAACAGCTAATAATTAAACAAGTATGATTTGACCCAAAGATGTCACAAATGGCAGCTGATTGGCTGGTGCAGGACCTCTGGAAGTGGAGAAGCTGGAGCCTGCAAATTTGCTTACGGACCATTTCAGACATTCTCTGTAGTCTCATTTAACCACTTGTTAGCAACCGCCTATTTCAAGACAAGTGCTTTAAAAATCACATAATAGTTGTCAGAATAAAACATAAACATATTTTGAGCTTGTGTTAACTGCAAACCTTACATCAGGCATTTATCCACAAAATTACTTTCCATTGACTGACTTCTGGACAAAGGAACCAGAAGTGCTAAAATGCTAGCTTTTTGGGGGGGTGTTTTATATTGTAAAAATAAGTAATCCCTGTGGCACTCTTGGACACACAGCCTTTTGTGGGTGAGGTAAGAACTGAGGTGGTGGGAGGATTCTTGAAAATGATTTTTATGATTCATGTTATGACTCTATGGTGATGTTCCTTCTTATGTGGCAGTCTACCTCACAAGTATTATGTATTTGTCAACTGCTCCTCAGTTGACTTCTTCACTTAAGAGTAAAATTATACCTGATGTTGTCTTCACAAGTCAATGAAATACAAAATGACTAAAGTAAAGTAAAGTAGCACAAAAGTAAAAAGTAAAAATATAAATAATATAAAATCACTATTATTCATTACCCAACTGAACTATTCACACAGAACAAACAATGCATTTGTGAGTGCGTCATTCATTACAACATGAATTGTATTTGTATAATTTATTTAACATTATTATGCACCTCTTTCTTAAATATTATAATTCAGTAAGCTTTTTTCCCTGTGATACTTCCATCAACATGTATGCAACATTTTTGCTTTCAACCAACTAATGATGATGCTGAAAGAAAATGCACCTGCCCTACTGTTGCTATAGTTACAAAAGTAACTTTAACCCCCATATAATTGACTACCGGTAAAAAAAAATAAAAAAATAAAAACGCGAGCTATGATTTCAGGTTTGTTCAGTTTTCTGACTAGTAATCATTGTTGTAACTTTTTTAGTGCTATTCCTTTTAAAATATGTTGTCATAGAGTGTACATTTTAGCAGACAACATTCAGTCAACAACATTCAGTTCAAGAGTTTTTTTTTCTTCATTCAGCTGAACTGAATTTATTGATTAGATAGAAAGTAGTTTTAGAGATATGCTATTTTGACATGGTATTTTTCCATCTACCCTATTAATAAATACATGTTTTACCCGTTCATGCAATAGTATGACCAGAGCTGGGTAGTAACTGATCTCGAATCACGCTCGCGGAAAGCGCTTGAGAAACAGTGTCTCTTTACGCTTTCAACTAGTTTTTCAACTAGCGCACCGCATTACTCACTTGAAATTATCATTCATGTTTTCATAACCGCTGGCCAAATTCAAAAACGAAACTTAAATTAAATCATCTCTGACATGCAATAGTATGACCAGAGCTGGGTAGTAACTGATTACATGTAATCTGGATTACGTAATCAGATTCAAAAAATTATGTACTTGTAATTAGATTAAATAAGTACATTTAAAAATTCTCGTAATCAGACTAGTTACATTTTTATTGATTACATGATTACATATCATTCATGCAATAACAATAAATTATTCATAATTTATTGATTCTCTCTAATTCGTCTCTTTCATCTTTTAAATGTTCCTTTCTAAAATAGCCTAACAATTATACAGTATAGGCCTACACTCAGAAAGACTTCCAGTTTTGTGGACATTCACACAAAAACCAGTCACTAGTCAGGTGGTACACAGCATTTGACCACAAAATTTACAAAAATCATTTCAGGTTTAAGAAGTGTTTCAACGTTGCATCAACTACTGATGAACACATTAATTTTCATTTGAATTATCTTTCAGTGGATTATTTAACCATGTGTTACTATATCTTTGGAAGGCTTTTGTCTTTCAAACAGATTAAAATGCACAAATTCACATTATTTCTTATTTACAGTACATGTAATGCAGACATTCCTAAACTTTTCTGTCATCTGAACCTCTTTCACCTAATATTGCCTATTTAAAAGTCAAAAGTAATCTAAAAGTAATCAGAAAGTAGTCTGATTATATTACCTAAAATGTGTAATGTAATGGGTTACTAACTACAATTTTTGTCAAGTAATATGGAATCAGTAACTGAGTACTGAGTAACTGAGTACTATTTGCAGCTCTGAGTGTGACTTATTTGGGGTTCAATTTTGTTTTAATGTCCTTTGTGATGTAAAAAAAATAAATAAATAAAATAATAATAATAATTAGCACCTTGACCTCATAGGCTATACTTTAAGGCATGTCCATTTAAAGTCCACATGAAACAGAAGTTGCTGCCGACTTTATTTCAGTATGGTGACGTATTTCCAACTGAATAAACTAAAATTAAATCATCTCTGAGAGCAAGGGGGCCCCCTGGTGTTTCGGGGGCCCTACGCAGCTTGCGTATTTTGTGTATAGGGAGGATCAGCTCTGCATGCGGACCCTAAAGGATTAGTTCACTTCAAGAACAAAAATGTCCTAACAAATGACTTACCCCCATGTCATCCAAGGTGTTCATGTTTACTTTATTTCAGTATGGTGACGTATTTCCAACTGAAACGGAATATTGAATAGAGGGTGTGGTTTTATTTTTGCTCCTCCTCTCCACCTCTCACTTGCAGCAAACTAACGGTTGGAGGGGCGTGGTTAAGCATATTTTGCTCAAGCCAACGCCCAATCAGTCAAACTGATGTCATCAGAGAAGGAATGCCATTCCAGAGTGGAAGCAAATGATCATATTTTGATTAAGATTACCAAGACAAACTATTTTTTCTAGTGGATTAACTAATTGTTCACCTTACAATATTGTAAATACTGATTTCATGTGGACAGTGCCGATCCAATGACTTACCCCCATGTCATCCAAGGTGTTCATGTTTTATGGAGAAAAATCCTGGAATGTTTTCCTCAAAAACCGTAATTTCTTTTAGATGTCACCACGTTTAGTACATTTTGGTTACCTGACAAAACTCACCTTTTATACAAATATATTACACACACACGAGGTGTAAGCACATCCACCCTTGTGCCTCAGGTTAGAAGCGCGCAGGGGTTGTTATGACAACTCCCGCGCAAATAAAAGATGCGCTGCGCAGTGTGTGATTTGTCTCAGCTCTGAGCGCGAGCCAATCATCTGGCCAGATTCCCCTCTGATCACGCGCTGGATTTACAATTCCGAGCAGCTGCTTTACAAAATAACTTGGAGCGAACGTAACGGTCGCCATGGGGCAACACGGCGCCAAGACTTTCCAGTTCCTTAGCAGTTTTAAGGTGAGGGGGAAGCAAGCTGAACATTTGTGCTAGACAAACAACTGAACTACAAGACAGAAAAGAGTTTGAGGTGCTGAAAAGATGTTGAGACGGACTCTATCTCGTATTTCTTGAGAGAGGGATGAGAGGAGCGTGGATCAACCAGAGGCGAAAGACATTTATGGCTCAACTGTTCACAACTTCTGCTTTAAGCCATCTGGAATGACTCGCTTTTTACAAGTATGGAAAATACAAATAGAAATAAATCATACAATCTGTTCAAGTACAAATGCGTTTTGTTTAACATGCGCAGTACGTTCTTACGTTTTTTCTCTTTACTTCCACAGGTCGCGTGAATAACTTTTAACAAACCAAACCTCAGAGAACAAGTTGGTCCGGGATGCCAGACAATATCGCTTTTCTGACGAACAGCACAGATTTGGGGCACGTCGGTCGCGCGTTGGGTTCGAGCGCGCGCCCCGCCTGGGCAATAGCGGTGCTGGCCAGCGTGCTGATCTTCACCACTGTGGTGGATATTTTGGGTAACCTGTTAGTCATAATTTCGGTGTTCAGGAATCGGAAACTGAGAAATGCTGGTGAGCTTTCATTTATCTGGCTGGACTATGCGCACTACATTCGCGCGCTGTTCATTGATGTAGCGCTTTACGTGCCATTAGGCTCAAGTGTTGAATGGGGATACAGATAATGAATAATGTACTGAATGAAGTAATTAGTCGACTTGTTTCCCCTTTACTTGACAAGAATCTCCTTTGACATGCTGCCTTAGGTGTAAATTATGCATGGTGAAAAAACGCCCTTCTACTCTTCTATCTCTACACATATTTGCCTGTGTGGTTTAAGAGTTTTGAGCTAAATGTAAACTGTTCACATTTAAGTGTAACTATTTATCTCACTTTTGACTTATTGACTTGTTTACCAACATCATAGTGTTTAGTGAAGGATTACTTTATAGCAATAACAAGAAAATGGTTTGAATTTGGCAAACATTTTATGTAACCATTCCAACCAAACAGCAAAAGTCAGCCTTTTTTTAAAGTATGCAATTTAATCAACAGCTGAAAGTTTGTTTGAATTCAAATGCAACATTTTAGTACTGAATATGTTCATGCATAACGAAATTGAGGCTTCCAGCAACCATATAAAAATTTTTTGTCACTCACAAGTTCGTTTTTGTGGAGAAACTCCTTGTTTCAGCATTTTTAAGTCTGAGCTTTTGGTAGTGTTAAGTTCACTTCACCTTGACCATGTCATGAAAAATTTACAGCGGCTTATCGCTCTCAGCAGTATGGGCTTCAAATACTTTTGACTGTAGTTTGGCATAATTGGACGTGTACATCAGTGAAATCTGGCACCCTCCTGAGCCTTATTAGACCCTTTATTTAATTGTAAATGGATGTGTTTGATGATTTTAAATTGATGTTAAATCTAATTACCCACTTGAATGACCCCTAACAATGCATTGTGTTTTTACACATAATCCTGTCTAAAAAGTGTTTTTGGGAACAACTGTTGAACTATGATGTCACTCTGTGGTGCAACTGTGGTTGTACTTGTGATGTGTGACACTGAGGGATTCAGAGGAGAGACAGATTTCATCTCTTTCAGTGCCTGTGACAATATGTGTACGTATGTTTGTGAGGTTATTCCACACACCGCTGATGCAGTTGATTGGGACTGCATTCAGAACCCCTTGACAGTTTGTGCATCTGCAGGGACATAAACGTGGAGAGCGCTCGCACAAGAGCGTACTTCAAAGCTCATGCTTTTTCGCATTGAGCAAGAGTCAGACCTGTCTGTTTCAAAGGCGCACTGACAGTCTTATATCAGCCTGTGTCTGATAGACACTCCTGACTCTCTCTGCCCTCCCCCTCCAAAGCAATTCAAGCACATGAAGGTGGCATCAACGGCTCATTAGAATGAGTATGAATGCTGTCAGATTTTGTGCATGGTCCACCCCCCCTGATGGCCGTGGCGACTGCCTCTGTCTTCTCGCCTCTCGCCTGAGTGGATTTTCTGTGAAGGAGGAGAATATATTCCTTCGTCTTTCAGCCCTTTGTCATTACCAGGGCCAATCAGGCATCTCACGCAAGCAATAACACTGTCACTAACACCCAAAGAAGCATTAAAGCAGCAAGGAATGCCACACGGATCTTTAGTGGTGTGTGCTGTGTGAACTAACAAGGGCAGAGAGCTGAGAAACGACAGAAACTGAAAGACTCGTTCTCCAAACGATTCTGCCAAAGTGTATTCGGAAGTAAAATCGTATGTTCCCAGAATCCCGTTTGCAGATTCACCGCGTAATCACCCCGTGCATGTGAAGTGCGGACATAAAAGATTTATGACTGGTAAAAATCTCAGTCTTTTACGATAACGAATCACATTCTGATGAGAGGGTGGGTATGAAAGAGACTGTATAAAAAGACTCTTCTCTCCATGTCTTTTGCTTCTCCATTTTTGTTATGTAGAACAGATGCCATGCTTTATTAGTCAAACTTCCATGTCGAGTTCACATTTGAGGAATAGTTCATCTACAAATTTAAATTTGCTGAAAATGAACTAATCTTCAGGCCATTCAAGATGTAGATGAGTTTGTTTGTTCATCCAATCAGATTTGGAGAAATTAACATTACATATATTCACCAGTGGATCCTCTGCAGTAAATGGGTGCCGTCAGAATGAGAGTCAAAACAGCTGATAAAAGCATCACAACAATCCACATCTAATTAACATAAAATAAAAAGCTGCATATTTTTACTAAACAAATTCATTATTAAGACGTTTTTAACTTCAAAACCATTGATTCTGGCTAAAATATGAGTCTTCTATCCATAATATTGCTTTCTCCAGTGAAAAAGTCATCTCTATCTGAGTCAGGAGAGAAATATGCACAGGTCAAGCACCGTTTACAACTGAAAACATGCTGTTCTAAACAAATGTGTCTGTGGATTTTGAGAGGACAACATGGGATGGGCTTTTATTGTGGATAATGGATAAACAGCTTTTCGTGTCACAGCTTGATAATTGATTATTGCTACCTGATCTCATGGCAAAAACGTACCTGGGGGCACTTTTTCGCGAGACGCGAAATGCGTACCAATAAGTGCATATCACTGCAGTTTCCAAAAGAAATTAACACTAGCCCTCTGATGCATGAATTATTAAATCACAAATGGAATCGTAGACAACACTTTGGGGGTTCGCCAGTTGGTGGTTGGGACATGATGCTACATCTTAAATGGTTCAAAATGGCTTCCAAATAGCTGTCCACTGTAGTGACCACGATGCATCAGAGGGCTAGTGGCAGTAAAACTCCAACACTTTTTATTCCTTTTTACACAAATTTACAGAGTTTTGATTAATAAAGCATAATTTTCTCACAGTTACTTCAAGAATATTACGTTATGACTTCAAAACAATTTTAATATGCTGGGAGATTTGAAAACTGATGCTTTTGAATGTTAGCATCGTACAAATCCAGCTTCATATCTATGGGTTTTCATCGACGGTTGGTTTGTTCGGTAGTACTTGAGATGTGAGGAGCTCCGTTGAATCCCGTGTAACTACGGTGCGACAAAACAGTTCAAATCTGCATATAAGGAAATTCAAATGGCACGGTTGCATCAACAAATGCGTTTTTATATCAGTTTTGCATTTGTTAACACTATGGGGTAGGTTTAGGGTTGGGTTTGGTGTCGGTCATATTTCCAACACGATAGAGCATTAACTTTTAGCGACAGTCCCCAGATATTTTAATTCTGAACCGCCGCAATACGTACCTAAAGCAACATAATAAAAACACAGCAATACGTACCTATATCAACGTAATTAAAACGTGCCAGGGTTCACGTATTGAACCTGTGTTTTAGCGCCACTCAGTGGACATTTCTCTTTGAAACTGCAGCGAAACATGCAGTAAGGTACGTAAAAATGGTGTTGCTGAAAAGTACCCAGAGGTACGTATTTTTATGAGAGCAGGTTGAAGACAATCCTGGCCTCCCAAATCTCTGCCATGATGCAGTTGACAATACTACACTTCAGTGTTTATCCACCGCCCACCCAAAGCTCAGTTCATAAGGAGGTTTGGTATTGATTGTCTTTCACTGCATCCATGTATGCAGTAAGTACAAAGAGCAGTTTCCCTTTATTTTTTCATTACGCCCAATGCCCTGGTGCAGTGTTTCAAGCATGCAGTTGACATTTCTCCAGACACAAATACGATTTTTATGGCTGTTCTGTTAGAGATCC